ARRRSTAATACCAGYTCTGAATGAAATCTTGTTTTGGTAATTCTTGATTCAAAGAGGCGACACTTTGAAGCAAAACGCAACAAAAGCGATAATAAAATCGATCATTATGATTTTGCTTTCGCGCAGTGTTTTTTAAAGTACAACTTTGCACTTTTATTCTCAATAATCTTACTCCAGAGGAGTTCCCATTCGATAAATTATTCACGATGGTCGTTTTACTGAAATTCCCTCACTAGAATAACCATTGCGCAAGCCTTTGGGAAAACATGCAAATGACTTATACAGATCTTCCAATCAGGAATCCCTAATCCAAGCATATCATAGATGATTATACCTTCATATAGCTAGCTAGCAAACTCCTTCAACATACTGAACTTAGAACTACTTTGAACTTATTCACGACATAACCGTGCTGAAGGTAAAGATTTYAAGAATTTTGAATTYTATCTGTYTTKCTTAAAGACGTTTAGCTCAGAAATTAACTATTTCTACCGAATCATTTGAAGCTTTCTCAAAGATTACACCGTTTTATACAGAAATTGGGTGTACCGGTTTGTGCCTCAAGAAGAGATTATGCCGCGTTCGTTCCTAGTACGGTTTAGATCGACTAACTCTGCCGAGGGAGATCTTCAAATTAGCCCATCACAGCAACAAGGTAGGTGTCTTCTATTTATTRCAGAAATGCACTGATATGGWGAAATKTTGATGGAGTATAAATGTGTGSCTTAGCTCTTGTGCAGTGACCCGCGTTACAAGCTACCTGWAGTCGACCTAGTGTAAGCTTGTGGTACATGCTAGGGTCGTTGTTTACTGGTTTGTAAATGACCCTGTTGTAGTTTTTCTCGTTTGTTTTCAGTCTAAAGGACATAATATTCTGATAAATATAAATTAGCTAACTTAGGATAAAGACAAAATTATGTTTAAATGGCAAAAATGGTTTGATTCTTAAAGAGAAAAAAGTCGAAAGCAATGGAAAGGAGATCCGAGGAGAGGAATATGAATCGCAAGACAAGAGAGCCGACAAACATGGCAATGTTCCCTGTTCAACTACTATACGTCAAAGCACTGATTCACTTCTTCAAAACAGCAAACAACTTCAAGGTTAGTCTTTTATAAGCGTAAATTCCATAAAAAATACCTCGTTTCTCGAGCAAATAGACAAAAATTCACGTCCCCGGTACTTGTGGGTCTACTTTAAATGTGAAAAGTGCGCTGGACTTTGGTTTTGTCTTCTTTATAAATCTATTATTATAGGAAAAATAGAAAAGTTCTCGAAGCATTTCCATCGTAGGACCTTATCTTATCATTTCTATCTTGATGTCTTTAAAAAAGGACATGATTTTTGATAGGGGAGGCTGTAACAGTTTGTAGCACTCTAAAATGGACAGGTGCCGTATTTCCCCAAAATAGAAATCTTCAAACATTCATTTTACAATAAAACTACCCAAGGAATGAGAACCTAAAGTTTAAATCAAATTAAACAGGAAAGGGAATTATAATAAATCTGTATCCTGCACAGCGGAGAGTGTAATTGAAGCAAATCTGGAGTTTGGATTTTCAATCAGGCAAAGCGACCAACTGCTTCGCAGAAATGCCATCCGTGGCACGTTCGCCTTAATGAACTTGGCTCGTGTTCAAGACTCTCACTGTTAAATACACAAACACGGAGCACGTTTTGCTTAAAAACTACCGTTATTTCAGCAGGAAATACGATATTTATAATCACAGTTAAGATTTGTTCATGGCTCCACTGAAAGTTCGATAGTTGGTGGAATTGCCCACGGTGTAAAAGAGAGAAAAAATTAAGCAAACATATGGTAGATATAATGAGAAAATCTAAATCCAAACACCTCTATGAAGTATATTTGATATTTCTAATGTGTCGTACTATTTGAATATATATCTCATTCGCGACCGAGATTTCCATCTCGAAAGAAGAGTTATACAAAACTTCAGCACTTGCCGCCCACTCCAGACAGATTGTACCTAGTGTTTTTCAGATAACAGCTAATTTTAATTCTGTGTAAACTCTCAAAACATGGCCACCATTTATCTACGTATAGTGAACATAGTATTATTCTGAGAAATAAAAGAGTTTTTAAGTTGTGAAAAGTATTGTTTGTATGTTCTAATCATAGGGATTGTATCATGCAATATAAAGACACAACAACATTTAGGGTGTGCCCTCAAATCAATTTTTAATCACGTTGGAATACAGCAAATAGCGGACCAATTTTGGGATGCAAATAATTTTGTATTTTTGCAGACACTAGAAGAGTAGATAATAGTCAAGCATAGTTCACGATCTGTTTATAAATATAAGGTATAGGTTTGAAGAAAAAAGAGAGTTGCTTATAAGTATAGGACTTCTGTCAACGCTAAAATGTCTCGAGAAGCCTTTTTTGCTGAACATAGCCCTGTTTACTGTCGATTAGTAAACTTAATTGCTGCTTAAATAAGGAGATACTTTAAAAAGCCTGTATGAATTGAAGAGAAAAAATCTAGACTGACTAATTTTGACAATACAAGTAGGATATTAACAAGTTTTTTTATGGATGTAATTATCATTTAGAATTTAAATCCAACATCTTTTTTCAATAYAMCAGGCTTGTGATTTACAAATCAGTTGAAAAGATTATCAAATTTTACAAACACCGCTGACTTTAGTTCTTCGTCATGGACTCGATTTTCTGAATGCTTGCTATAATAGTTGAATTTCCGAGATAATTCAGAGAAGAACACTTTGTTTGAACGTCTTTAGCTACCACTTTAGTAATGACTGGCTGTTTGCAAATAACAGTCAAACCAATCAATAAATTATGCACTCGCAAACTGTTTATGCGCCTGTGGCCATGTTGTACCAACTAGATTTATTTTACGCACCAAACATTTACTCAAAAACACACCACTGCCAGCTTAAAACAAGCATTTTTGATAAGTTTGTACATCAGTTATTTGTGCTGAACATGACTTATGTTTTGAGGTGGAGAGTCCTTCCCAACGAGTCGGACCATACTTGCGAGTGAAGTGTCACCGGCGATTCCTTTTGTAGGATTAAATGAAGTCATTTTAGCAAAAAAACTCTAATTACGGGATTAAAATACATGCTTGGCTTTTGCTTTGCTTTGGCAAGAAAGCCACATTTCTTAAATTATCCCTTTATAGCTAGTTGTTTCACGCAGACGTAGTGTCACTCAAAAATGTTCATTGACAATCTTAGCCAAATACTCTTGTAAAGAAAGTGTTGAAAATTCACTCTTAGAAAGCAATCTATCTCAAAACTAAATTAAATATATTTGTTTTAACTGTTATCAAAAAATGCCAATAAGTTTGAATGATTTAAACTTGCTAAGAAATATTTGTACAAAGTTGGCATGAATAAATTTTAGTGCTTTGGGATATTCATCTCAGAAGAAATCAGTTTACTTTGAGATTCTTGAATTTTCCACCAATACATTCTGATGTTTGACTTGTATAATGTAATTTTTTTAAGCTTTGTTAACTTCGAAGCAGTTATTCCAGATTGCTTAATGATCTAATGTCATAGTTAGATGAATAAAATTGCGGAAATAGTGTCGGTTCTTTAATTCGGGAAAAAAACATTTCAAAATCACAAATCAAGGTGAAAGAAAGGCTTTTCTATTATTCATAAATACTTGGAAGCTTTACAACAATTACTGAGAAATAAGCTTCAGGAATCTAAGTTTTCATTTGAAATATTGTAATAAATGAGATGCTGGGAAAATATTGGGTTTAAAGACCTTGAATTTAGGAAGATCTCGAACTAGAGCGACAGTTTTCAAAATGGCGATCATTTTTTGTAATACTTCTCCAAGAAATTTGATTTAAAATGCCTAATATAGCCACAATGTCGTAGAAAACTTTAATTTCTGCTTGTTAATACAAGGTTAGAGCCTTTAATGAGCTATCGGAATGGTTATTTGCAAAGTTTCCAGTTTGTTTGTGTTGTTCTTAAGTGAAATCCAAGATGGTGGCGATTGTCGCTGTGCATTTTCTTGTTCAATGTAAAAAAACAAAAACTACAACGCCACACATTTTAACTTTGAACCAAAAAAATCAGCATTGAAACTTCTAGATTTGTAATCCAAGTAAAGCAAAATAAACAATGAATAAATAATAACGTAAGTTTGGGTTTTTTCCAATGCAATACGTGCAGCTATTGACGCTTCTAGAAACTTTGACGGTGAAGATTGAGAAGATAGCGTAACAACAAAATTAAGTATTCGCATGTATAAATATTTTCAATAGTGAGATTTTAGCCTGCAAATCGATCATATCATCACTTCAGTATCTACTGGAAGATCCTTTTTAGACGCACTTTTTAAGAGAGAACTTCTGTCAAAAGTGGCAAAAATCAGAGTCACTAAAAATCAGAATCGATTCGTTACAAACTGGATTGCACTGCAAACCGTCGTTATTGTATCGAAGAATTGGATATGAGCAAACTCAAGCTCTAATTGGCTATTCAATTACTAGGGTATCAACTGATATCATGTGGGCAAAGGAAAACAAAATGGCGATCAAAGCGATGTCGAAATCCAAGTGTAAACGTCCWTTTCGCTCAAAARATTGACYKGRTATACAATAAMAAATTACTGCACTCAATCTACATCTACTACTAGCTCATGATAACTGATGATTGATAGTTGTAATGAAAATCAATCCGCCTTATCAATTGCGATGAAGCAGCTTCCTCACATTTGCCACCTTAATCCGTGAGTTGCATCTTAATGAGCTCATCATTTGAATATTAAACAAATTCATCTATACTACCACCTGCTGTCAATATCATTGATAACGCTTTAACTTGCAATATTATTTATATTTTTTAGAATATGATGAAAATTGCAGCAAAAAAGAAAGCGTTTTTCAAGAAATTGTTCAAAATTACAAAGAAAAAAAGAAGATTAAAAAAGAGGAGAAAGTGAAAAGTGAACGGGAAAGTGCAGAGGAACACAACGTTGATGAAAATGAGAATATTGTGAACACGGTCAAGGCAGAGGGCGGTGGACAAGGTAAATGAGTACTCCTTTTAGCTCKTATGTAGAAGACGTGTTTATATAAGCCTAATAACTTCAGAGAATTGGCTTTGATGTGCTCATTCAATTCTAAGAAAATTCAAATAATTCTTTGCTTTTTTAAAGTCAACATGCATAGAAATTACAGTATGACATTATTATTTTGCAATTTCTAAATTACTAACTATAAACCCATTTGATTGGCTTCCTCAAGCGTTAATTCTATTACCTAATTTCAGTTTATTATTTGGATTATTGATTATTTTGTTTCGTTTCATCATTAGCTTACTCGCAAGCATATTTCCAGTACCCAAAGGCGGATAGCTATTTTAAGAACAGCCCTCTGTTCATCCCAGCAAGCAGCGCGGGCATCCTATCGCCTGCGGTTTGGCCATATCAACAACCAGCTACCCAAGATAGACCAGAATCCTTTGCACGCTGGATGCAACACTGGGCAGAAACAAGACAAGCCTTGAATGGTCAAAATCCCTTTCGTTACTTTAATAATTTCTCCGGCCCAATGACGTCACCGGTGAAATCTGACACGGTCTCAGCCAATCAGAGTCCCTCACCGACCGAAGGGAGAATATCAAGTGGTCAGCGTTCACAAAAACGCTTCTACTCATGCGCCATTTGTGACAAATTGTTCAATAATTCAATCAGTCTCAAGCAGCATATGATCGTTCATTCCTCGAAAAAGCCATTTCAATGTCACGTGTGTGAGAAAAGTTTCAAGCGTTCTTCGACACTTTCGACGCACATGCTTATTCACTCCGATACGCGTCCGTTTGAATGTGAATTTTGCGGCAAGAAATTCCACCAGAAATCCGACATGAAGAAACATACATACACACACACGGGCGAGAAGCCGCATTTCTGCACGTTTTGTGGAAAGTCATTTAGTCAGTCTTCTAAYCTGATCACTCATTGCCGCAAGCACAAGGGWTTCAAACCGTTTTCGTGTCGTGAGTGCGGTGTTTCCTTCTTCAGGAAGGTTGATCTCAGACGTCATAACTACCTACACGAGATGAAGGAGTAAAGCCTTACACTGATTGACATTAACTCCAGTCTACCAATCAAATTGCGATTTGTAAACCAACAGTGAGATGATCGTTCACAACCCCCTTTAATCCGTTAAAAGACGTCGCTTTTTGCGACCAGTGATCTTTATATGGGATTAGTAAAGAATAAACCATTCGGTAGAGTCATTTACATTATAAAAACTTCAGTCTATGGCTTGCAACGAAATACTGAATTCCTGGTGAAAATCAAACAAAAGTATCCTCAACTACCGTCCAAATACGGAAAATATATATGCGAAAAAAACGTCGGTTTTAACACGTGTCAAACTGAATGAAAACCGCAACAACCAGTCCTTGTATAAAATGAAACAGTTATCTACGATATAGGGACTGACTTTATGAAGCGGGCTGGCAAGGTTGACCCGAAAAGAACCGGGACAGCCGCCATCATTATCATCAGCCCCCTACAAATTGAATTGTGTATTCCCAATCACATATAACTACATTAAGTTCCTTTAAGAAGTCGCTTTTCGGGTGAGCCTTTTATAATATGAAAGCAGCAACGTCGTTTTTTACATGTGCCTCTTCATAATACGAAAAAACGTCGTTTTTCACATGTGTCTTTTTAATGATAAAGGCAAATCGTAGCGCGTGAATCATTCTGTTMTTAAAACAACTCAAAATAAACAAAACTCAACATTGGGAAAAAGGTTTTTACAGTTGGAGTTAAAAGAAAATCAGTACTCGAGATATGTCAGTTGTCTTATTTATCCCCATACAAAATACTTGTTTTAACTTTGCATGCGCTGACAAGATATCATTTGGTACTCGTCGATTAACTTACCAACATTCTGAGTTGGGCCTGGGTACGAACATGCAATATCGTCCACAGGAAGCCCATTTTCATCATTCTTTGCTTTAATGAATACATGGGAACCATAAACTAAGAAAAGATAAATTAACGTTATAAAAGTATGTATTAATGTTGTCAAAGAAGAGATCAGTTGCTATCAAAGACATCAACTTCATTTTCAAATAAGAGAGAAAACAATACGAAGATGTTTAACAAATAAATAATATATAAATTGTAAAAAACATAAATAATATATGAATTGTAATAAACTATAACTGATAACTATAATATTAATAAAATATTAACAAATATATATATAATACTTATATGACGTTCATACCGCAATTCAACCGTAATTTTCGTAAAGTTTTCAGTGTCAATTATTAGTAAAAAAAATAAAACCCACGACATAAAACTTTTTTGCAAGAAAATGCATGAAATTACTCAATTTTGAATAAAAAGTATTGAAATTTGAAATAAAGTGAAAGCTGATTTGAAGTTTCTTTTGATTTTTTGTATGACGACTGTCTAGACCGTATACAAATAGACCGAAAAGGATTGTGGATAGAAACGTCAATATTATCAGAAACACTTTGTATATGAATYGTCAAAGCAGCTTCATATATCTGTCAAGCAAAACAAACGATTTTTGCTCTCTTTGTGAACTAGAATCCATTGTTTTGTCCCCTAAATGAAGCTACTTTACAATGAAATGCAAGGGGTGCAGTTTAAGCTACAATATTCTGCAAAACAAACGGAAGACCTTGTGCACCCTTTTTCAACTGCTGGACACTTGTTCCTTGATCATTCTGGGCGATTTTGAAAATAACATTGCAAACAGGGAGGGGAAGGTGTAATAACACACTCACAGACGGTGTTTCACGTTATTTTGCACAAGATTTRTAACTAAATATATAGTAAACACATCTTGAGACCTATGTGCGTCCATTTTGTTAACACATGCCTCGAGTATACAGGGAAAATCTCTACTGGTAAACAGTTTAGATGACACAAGTTCTCCGTATGAAAATACTGAACAACTCGACATCAGTTAATTTCTGATTTAGAAGCTTTCAGCTGTTCCAATAAAACGATCAAAACTTGGAACATCATTGAAAAATATGAATTATAGAAAGTCTCGGAAAATGTGAAGAAAGTGTTGAAAAATAGTCATGTTTTATGGACAGTGTATTGGGTATGTAAGATGAGTGCTTTGTAAAAGTAGAGTCGGGGTGTGTGCAAAGACGGGGGGGGGGCATTGTGAAAAGAAAGTGACTTTTGGTCTCATTGTCACTGAGCTATGTACATATTCCCATACTCCCTTTCGTTTTTGTCAGGAAGGGGTAAGAACGATCACCTTACGGCCATTGTTCTACTTCCCCTGTGTTAAGGACGCCACTATATCACAACCATCTATTTCTCTTCCCCCTAACCATGAACCCCTTGTCGAGAACGAGAGCACTGCTAGAAGCTCAGCGGGAGACGAAAGTCTATTTGGGTTTGTTGAGGTGGGACAAGTAGAGTTCCGTGAAATCGAAGAATGAATCACTCGCATCAGATTCGATTCACTTCCTGGCAAGATCAATAACGAAAATATCGGTGAAGTTCGGTGAATTTTGATCGTTAATAAATATTTTTTTTAGCGGTTTTATATTCGACTGAATATACATTAAACTTCAACGCTTGCCAGATTCGATTCATCTTTTGTGTGGATAACACAAAGAGCGCAATGATTAGGAATTGTTGAATATGAATTGATCTTTTAACACCATGTAGCTACCACTATACATGGCTGTGTTTTTGACAGCCTTACACCTGACTGAGTATACCGTAATACACTGTACTCCCCGCATCAACTACAATAACACCACAACTTTGACGAGAAGAGACTGCGCTCTGTGTAAAAACGGACAACGCCTGTACACAGATTGTCAGAACACAACCTGCAACTAGACATTTCAAGTACTTATTCTTCGCGATTTTTTAATATTTACAACTTCGAGTAGATATCGTGTTTCTGGCTGGTCTTTAAGACAAATGCCATCCATGTCCACGCTTTTAAAATCGAATTAATTTTTGTTTAAGCCAGAGGCACTGGATGTGCTTATAAACAGCTAACAATTACTTCTCTTTCATTTAGTAAATGGTAATTAGCGTATACATTCGAAAGCATAATGGCAGTACTGTATACATAAACAAAAATTGTCTCAAAGGCCGTATAATTGAGTTGCTTTTTTTGTGTTTTTGTATTTCTTGGATGAGACAGAAAACTGACAATATCGATCAATTATTAGAGCGCATTTTAATTATAATGATTCTCATTTTTTTTTTTTGAAATTATAGCTCTTCTGTGTAAAGAATAAAAAGTAATAGGTTTGTAATTTGTAAATTAAAAATGTAGTTTTAATTTCTTTCTTTTTAAGTGAGGTTAAGGAAAAATTGTGACATATAGAAGAACTGTTCCAATTTAAACCATAATTTTGAATTCTGTTTTAATTTATCTATTTTTAAGAAAAGGAGGAATACATACTGGTGCTAACTTATAAAGAATTTTTTTATTTGTTCTTATACGTTATAATTCCAGCCACAGCCGTTTTGAAATGAACCTTTCTCATTTTTACTGATCACGTTTTACGAAAATGAACATGAAATTTAATTTCTTAAAGAAAGGAATCCGACGATATTCAGGTTTTCGCTGAATAATAATAATCAATTATTACCAAACAAAGTCGATATGCAGGCTGAAATTGTCTTTTTAAACATTCTAAAAAGAAAATTTCCACAAACGTTTCAATGTCACGAGTTTTCCAGCGATTATTTTTTTTTCAGAGACCTTAATTTTGCGTTCAATTGTAATATCAACAGAACGTTATATAAACAGKATAAAAACCCTATTGCTCAGAAAAAGACTCGCATTAAGCGACGTACATTTTCGCAAGACTAAACACAATTTATAGCTAGTCTTTGTTCGCGGTTGAAATAAACTTTGCCACGTCTAATGCTCTTTGTACTATGGATTCRTAAATGATCAATAACTATCAAAATCGACAGTCAGTAAAACTTTTCGCATATAATGTTTACTACTGTATTAGTGAAGATGTGATAGTTAAGATGGCAAATCATAAACTGACTCAATTTAAAGTCAA